TTGAGGAATGACATAGGCTACTTTTTACCGATACCGATAACCACATACAGGCGGGAGTAGCCGCAGTAAAAAACTAGTTTGTAAGAATTGATTAGTGATATATCGTATATTTAATTGATTCCTTGCACGGTATACTAAATGTTGCAATCTACTTCATTTAACCTTAGACATATATAACACTACATATTATATTATTGCTTAAGTATGTGGAAAATTTTAATGTCAAACGAATAAAACTTGATTACAATCATTTCTAAAATATTTTATCAATTATTTATACATATTAAATTGAAAAATACTATTACTAAAAATAAAGGCTCCTTATCTGAATTGCATCTTTATTCCTCATTATAATCCCATAAATCAAGCGTCAGCCGATTAAAATCCGTTACATGCATGGACCGTACTTGCAATTCCATACATATCAGTTAAATGGACCAAATCGAATGTAACATACTACAATCTGTGTGTTCAGTTAGCCTACAAGCATTTATTGGTCGTCACGACTTTCGTGATGTGACCGATGTAGACGGAATCAGTATTGAGTGCTGTGCCTGTAGGTATATCTGACTAACTGTATTTGGACACGTGTGTCCTGGCCTTTATGTTATTTTTGTAAGTACTGTTTAGTTATTATTATAGTTTACTGATTTTGTAGCTATTCATTTATTTATCAGTATCAATGAGTAGTTTGTGAACTTTTATATACACGGTATTAGGTAATTGTTATCAAAATGTATGCTGTAAAAATACTTTGTCTTTACAGTTGATAACAGCTGGTACCGACAAAAAAAAAATTGTAGTCCAACCATTTATCTTTAAATTAATATTGAGTGATATACGTTCTGTTTCCTTTACGTGTGTATGCGGTTTATAATTAAAATACACTTATTACTCGATATATAAGATTCATATATCGTCATCCAGATAAACTATTTGTGTACGTCGCCTATATATTTAAGAGAAAATACGACGATAAACGATTCATTGCACATACTGCAAAATATGCATTTTCTCTTCTTATGAATAATGTGTCGCGCTTGTCACTAGATACTGTTGTCGTCAAATACTGTTTATATTTGTAAAATATAAAACAGTTTAAAACTTTAAAAAGGACTTGCTGAAAATTAAAATGCTTTATAATTTAAATAGTCCTATTTAATATGAATGAAGACTCTTGTTATCACATACCGTTAGCGAATAGTAAAACAGGTCATTACATTTTAGTACTTCCTAGTGAGGATGGTCGATCTTGTAAATTGCATCGGTTCTTTAAATAACGAATCGTAAACAATTGATTCGATTTGCTGTCTAAATCGAATTCATGTGAATCTATCTTTCATTAAGTATAACGTATGAAGTGTATGGGGCACTTTATTTGTTTTTCTTTCTTTATTACGTAAAGTAATTTAAACGAATAAGTATTAATGGCTATGCAAATTTACAAATCAGTTACTAGAGTCTAATGTCAGAGATAGGAGTTTTTTTAACTTTAAGTATTAAATTAACACCTAAAAGCTTTTGTTGTTTCTCGGTGCTTTTTTAAGGTTTTAGATTTAAGATTACTTTTAAAAACTGTGTTACAAGAATTTTGCTTTAACTCTTGTATAATAAATTACCGTCGGGGCAATAAACGTAGTCAGATAAAGAGATCACACGAGTTAATGATTAGGTAGGTAGTAGGCTTTATTCTTCTAAAACCAGTGAAATGGAGGTTGTTTTATAGGTTTTTTAGATTTGCATTAATTATGAGTTCCTAATTTATTTTTTTATGTTTAAAGCAGTACCTATCCATTTATATTTGTATAAGAAAAAGAAATATATTTAGAATTTTTTTTTTTTTTTTTTACCTCTATCAGAGTTTGTACAGTACGGTGCCAGTGATATTAAAAACTCCCGTAAGTACTCACAAAAACAGTACAAAAATCACAAAAGCACGTCATAGAATTCGAATAATAGGAAACAGTTAAACGAGGCCCAGTAACAGCGATAGCAAAATGTTCGCAGCACCATAATGGTGCCGGTCAACTTGCCAAGCAATCTTAACGAAATGTTCTTGAAACTTTAAACGAAAAGCAATACAGTCCTGTATTTTCCTCCTTTGGACTGTCACAAAACAACATTTTCCGATGGTATTAAACAACTTTTGATGTTCATGATTGTTTGAAACTCTTGACTGCCTTAATTCGGGAACATCGCAGACAATAAAGGCCAAAGTATCTATTTGTCCTTCAATTAATTATTTCTATTACAATGGCGGTTTATTAAGTAAAGTGTAAAAGTTTATCAGTAAAATAACTTTATCCTATAAAACACAAAATTACTAATAATAACATTCAGGTTTAGTATCGAAGTGGATTGTAAAAGTCCAAAATTGAAAGTTTGAGATTGTTATGTTGGGCAGTTCAGTTAGACAGCCAGCAACAATGAATTGTGAAACTACTGAGCCGATTTTAATATGTTTTCATTGTTAGAAAGCTACATTATCAAGACGTAACAAAGGCTACGGCGACGTTCCCTTGGGATTGGAATCTACGTAGCTGGGTTAGTTGTATTCTGTAGACATCTGTAGATCACGCGGTCGAAATCCGGAGCTGTCCCAAAACAGATAATGTTTGTTTTTAATGAATTTCAATTGTGCCCCCTGCGTTTGAAACTTGTTGGGCTATTCAGAAACACAAAGTTAAATACTTTTGCAATTTTTTTAAGTCTTGCAGAACGGGTAACTAACTTGTATTCTTTGCCAAGATTTATAAGTGAAGGATTAGCAGAAGTGATTTATTTTCGAATGTACTAAATGGAAAGAAACAGCAAACAAAAGTTCATATAAATTGGCTTTCTTACAAGCTATAAAGCTCACTGAAAATTGTTTTATGTCTGGAATTTAATAAGAATAACACAAGGTGGCAATTTTTTATCAAAATTTGTTGTGAAAACTCTTAAGTTTATAATGTTACATAAATCTCGTTACAGTTACGCAAGTAGAAAAAAGACTGTAGGTTTAATGGTTCCCAATTAAGGTTGCAGTGCGATTTTGCTCTGGTTATGTAGCTTGATTGGTGAGGCGTGTTAAATCACGTGTTCTGTGGTTATTGGAAACCTTAAAAGTTTTATGACTTTTTCATTTTCGGACACGAATTACCTGTGTATGGTAATATTTGTTGTGTAAAAACTTCTACAGAAGTAGGAAACCCAATGCGGTCTAGTCTATTCTTTTATTTATGGCCATTAAAACTGGTGTAATAGATTAGTAGATATTTTTTTTATTGGATACAGCAAGAGTTTTGAAACTAACAGTTCCATATTTTACAGTTAAGAAGTTTTTTACAAAGTAAAGCCATAACATCAAATAAATTTTAATTTTGCGTTGACCATACCAGCTTTATATTTGTGTACAGTTTGCTTAAGCTTTAAGGTATCAAACGAATTAGTGTTAATAAACGTGTCGTAAAAATTCATAATAAGGCTCACATTTTTTGAGCCGTAAGTAAAGAGCTTTCATATTTTAATTGTATATGAAGTAAGGACGAGTTTAAATTAACACATGATTTTATTATTATCAAAATGTAATAATGAAAGGTTGCGTAAAGTCAATGTACGATAAAAATGAGTACAACCAATAATAGCGCTCAATATCAATAACAAATACGTTTTACAAAGTAGGTCAATGCACAACAATACATCTACTAAGGAGATATAACTTTATGAAAATTTCTTACGGATATTTCATATGCTACGCTTTCGAATGTGAAACTAATGGTATTTATACTACCTTAGTCATGCAAAACTAATTAGAGAGTTGTTTCAAAGCGTGCAAGATCAGATCTTTGATATGAGAACATCGTGGGAGTTAATTTTCCTAACAGTGAATACTTCTATTTTTTACCCAAAGAACAATTGTTTCGGCCATTGTCTTTTGACATCGTCAAGTGATTCGCGTGAATTATTTTAGCCTTTTTATATTTCTCGTGGTTTTAGTTTCATTTAAAAATGTTGTGTTGTTCTTCTTCAAGGTATACTACAATTTTTTATACCAAACGTGTACTTTAACGATAGTTTCTCATCAGTTCTTTTATATCAGAAGAATGCAGTTTTCTTTTCAAGTGGTATTTAGTAAACCTTATATCAATTCCAGTTACAATACAAACCAATACAATAATCTTGCCACTTTCAAAGCATTTACTTAAAAAGCCAGAGAGAGAAGAAAAAGTACTGCAAGAACTTGACGATGAGACGGTAACTTTGCATCTGTTATTTGATAATTTACGTCACCAACTAAGAAAATACTTTCTTTATTGATTCTTAATTCCACTGCCATCTTTTAAATGTAAAACAATCGCGAGAATAATTGAGAACAAATGACAAATAGAATACGCATCTCATGCAAGTCGGCACGGGTTATCGTACTCCAAATAAGGTAAAAATTTATTTAAGAGTGTTTTAGAGGCAAATTAACAAAACTAAGACCTATGCGTTGGAAATTTAAAACTTTGAAAAATAAGTGACACGCTATATATATATATATCCAAAATTGACATGAACTGCATACCTAGCCTAACTAATTACGCTGTGACTCAGTTGAAAAATTACTATATTTAAAATGATTAAAAATAACTGAAACGCTCAAGAGAATAATCGCCTTTTTCAGTCATCATCAGTTTAAAGTTTACGTAGCCTCTTGTCTGTTGAAACACCGGCTCCCGGTATAAACACATTTTCGCCGGAACTGTTGACATACCGGGAGCCGGTATGGGTAAGTGTGTTCTCATAATCGCTCTAAAGCACGTCATTGTATATACTCTATCCTTTCTAACACGTTACAAATGCATAAAGAAGAAACAGGCTGACTAGTGAAGCCAAAATCTCGCGCAGCTTTAGTGAAAAAAATGTAAACAAGAGTCAGTCAAAACTCCGCCATCGCCTAGGTGACTACTTATTTTTTGTGTTGGTGAAAACTTGTGTTTTATCTTGAAGTGATTCGCTGAATATTAGAAAAAACGATGGAAGGGTAAGTAATTATTGATTATGTATACAAATTATATAATAGTTCTGTTAATTTTCACTAAAAATCGGTCTGTAACTATCAGCATGTTCAATGTCGAACACGTGACGACGATTTTATTGTCGTCATATTTCAACCAAAAATGGATGAAAAGGCAAGTTGATGTTAGATCTAAGACGTAAAATTAATTAGTTTTGATATATTTCATAGGTAGCATTATATTTCTTTCAAAAACATGAAAATATGTAATGAAAATGGGAGTACATAGTCTCATACCGGGAGCCGGTTACGTCAACAGTATACGTTTGACATTTATGGGCAGCCATGTTTTTTGTGTTTCTGGGATGCTTCCTAAGTATGGATATGCCTCAGAAATGTTTTTGTATGCATTAAAATTTTAATTTATTTTTTATTTTTGCAATTTTTTTCATTATCGGTTTTTCTTTTGGTTTTTGTATTGAGCAAAATTATATTTTTAGTTATTACGATACTGGTACTGATTTTCATATTTTCTAAGGATTCCTCCAGACGGGGCTTCATCTTCATCATCAGCCGTCAGGGCTCCTCCTTTGAGGGACGAGGAAATTGCCCGAATCTTGAATCATGGTAAGTGAATATTTTTCTTTCAGACCTATCTTTTAGTAGTATATATATATCTGTTTACATAGGTAAAACAGACTACAGTATATTATTATTATTTACACAGGCAGTGAAGAGGATGCTGACAGCGATGATGAAGATGAAGATTTAGTTCAGCCAGTGCATCTGCCGAGGAGAGCTGAAAGACTTTTTATGTCTGAGGAAGACACTGAGGTGCCACCGATAAACGCTGCTATAGGCTTTGAGTGGCCACCTCAACTTCCCTCCGGCCTGCAGCCCCAACCTAGCGCCCAGCCCGAACCCGAACCCAACGCCGAGCCTGAACCCAGTGCCGACCCCGAAGCCAGCGCCGAGCCATACAATAAGTTTGATTTTAAGTGGAGAGGGTTTTCAGAATCTCAAATTCCTCCTGAATTGAGAAAGGAACCATTCTCCGAAATTAATTGTGGTCCCACAGTTCCATTGGCGAGCCCATATGTGTGTTCACCTGCTTTGAGCCACATCACACTTAACAGTAACACATCACACAAACAGTATACCTATACGCACAGCTACTCAGGAACACACAGGAGTCTGAAACGCTTTATGTCGCCAGTTCAGTGGGAATTAGGAAGGTAAGTATATTTGTCCAAATCGTGAAACAGTAAGACAATTAAGGCTGCATATGTATATTTATGTATTTGAAAGTAATATTTTTACGTATTTATTTCTTTATTTACGTAGGTTACATTTTCATTAAAAATATCTATCTATCTATCTATATTTATTATTATTAGCAATATTTTGGGTAAAATATATAATTGTAGTTCCCTCGGTTGCGTCATTCGTTTGGATTACAGTCATCATTATTTGAGAGTGCTGCCAACCCTTTTAATCTACAAGAAATATCAGTGCTGCTAACCCTTGTATTCTACAAGCAATATCCCACGAAATCAGGGACTATATTTGATCTTATCATTAGCTATGACTGCAATATTCATTTTTTGAATTAGCAAAAATTTATAAAAGTACTTATACTAAATGTGTAAATATCAACTACTCAAATGCAGTGGTAAATTTATCAAAAAACGTTAGATTTAGCGTTGAAATCATTCTGTTGGCAGCTCTCTGGTTAGTACTTTGGTATATGGGCGTTTTTCAAAAAAACTGACCGTTACGTTACCGGAATGTGACCGGAATCCACTTTTTTGACCTATGCAATGTGTAACATATTAAAGTGCAAAGCTCATATACCCCAATTAGATAAAAATGTTTTGAATGTACGTTAGTAAAAAAACAAACACTATACTCGTGAGAACCATACCTTGAAAATATGTTATACGAAAAGTCGTATCCATACTTTTTTAACCTCTCAGGTACCAAAATGAACCATTTTTTACTACTTTTATCAACTTACATCTTGAAATATTTCTTAGAACTGTATTGTTCTGTTGATTTGTTTTGATGCTTTAATCTATCTAAATATTAGAAAATGTCTAAAAATTCCGTTAGTTGCAATATTTTTTCCAAAAACTATGTTTTTAAATGTATGTAATTTCTGACCCAAATTTTTGAGTTATTTTTGTTTAACTCCTACTCAAGATATATGTAATATAGTGCTGCGATACTTTTGTAATACATAGTTTATAAGCTTAAGTTTCTAATAAACAAAGCATCTTAGTCCATATCGGCATAAGTCATTTAAAATTAGGTTGAAATATTATACCCACTTTTGAGGACTTGTTAAGTGGCAGTTCTTTGTGACTATATTAAGAACATGTGTTGTGTAAAAAATATGTATGGTGGCACTTGAAGTTTGAGTTGTATTTTATACCTAATGTGATAAGTTGTAAATAAAATATTTTATGAACTTCCGAATATTGTTGTAATTAAAATTATAACCGAAACTTATCTAAATATCATAGTACCCTATGTTGAAAGTTCTATGTTAGCTATAATTGAGTATTTATATAGAAATGGTTGAAAGTGAATAAAGATTATTCAATTTACAATAAGATTTTTAACTTGAATTGACTTGATTCCAACTAGATACGGAGAAAATCCAGTTACAGTAAAAGTCTATCTCAAAAATGGGCTGTCTGTTGACCATACCGGCTCCCGGTATAACAGGTAATGCAAAATGGGCTAATGTCATTCAACATACAAGAGGGTAGAAAACACCCAATTATAAATTATAAATTGGGTTTTATAATGTTGTTATTGTAGTGAACAGCGACTTTATCTTAGTAAAGATTAAAAGTCAAAAGAAAGTCAGAGTAAATCGTTACTTAAGTTTTAAATGCCAAGTTATTACTTTGACAGTTCTCTATCAACTTGAAAGGTTTCATAATAGATAAATTCAGTCAGAACTTTTAGTTGTTGAAGTTTAGCGTAGTTGAATATTGGATAGAAAATTGAATTTTAGAAAGCCTCATCGATTTATGTCAATAAGTGGATCAAGTGTGACCATCAAATAATGACCACAAAAAACTAGATAGATAGGTTAAGAGCATTTTGAGCTAAAACCTTGACTTTGCCGAACTTGCAGTTTTTTTTTATTCTTCTCCGTTAGTTCTCCGAAGCCAAGGAAGAATATAAATTGTCAACTGTCAACATAACATAACTCAAATAATCCTTTCGGTTATTATTCAATAGACTTGACTGTATTAAACGACTCCTGTAAGTTTCTTGAAACGTGTTTTTCGAACATGCTTAGTCAGCTAATGCTAATAAAAGTGTTCCTGGGGTGTGCACTCGCGCGAAACGCATACCAGCGAGGCAACCGCGCACTACTTGGTTAGGAAAACACAAGTGCACAGAGTATTGAAAGCGATTTCCAAGAACATTTGACTAGATTTCTTGATTTTGATGCCCTGGAATTAAACACTCAACCGTAAAAATATGTACATGATTTATTGACAAATTAATGTATATAGACATATTTATCGTGGAGCACATGTGGGCAAGGCTCGATGGGAGTCGTACCACATTGTGACAGAAAACTTTATTGGCTTATCACCGAGTGAGTGAAGTGAGGTTACCGGATCCCCCCAACCCCTCTAAATCTGGTGGAGGTAGTGGGGGGGAGGGGTTAAAAGGCGGCAACGGTTGATGACCCTTGAGTTGTAGGTGTCCATGAGCGGTGGTAGTCACTTACCATCACACCATCAGGTGACCGGACAGCTCGTTTGCCCCCTACACTTTAAAAAAACAGTAGCACTCTGGAAGTGCCGACAAAAGTGATAACTTATATACAGAGGTTTCGGTAACGGTAACAATGTCGAAAGTTGCATTGTTTTTCCCATCTCAAAAAATGCCCAACGCGCCTAAACAAGTTTTCACTTTGAAAATACGCACTACATACTAGTGAAAACAGAGTACTTCAGTTTACACCAAAAACGTCAACAAAGACGACATTCGTTTGTAATTTGAACTAAACTTTACTTTCACAAGTAACAAAGCACGACGTTTGGTCACTCTGTGAAAGCAAAATTTAAAAGCAAGTTAAGTAACAATGAATTAAAAACCTTCTAACTCATTTCTACTGATATTTCTTCAAATGTCATGGCAAATTTTATATTTCGAAAGTCTTCCACACGGATGACATTGACAATAATACTCGTATAAAAATGCTTTTCTCAACGTCTAGTAATGACCTTTCTTGTAAAACCAATGTCTACTTTCGGCAATAGTTTCCTACATCTATGTTTACGAAAAGGTGTATGTCTAACAGGCCAGCTATGTTTAGTTGGTCTCTAGTGTTTCGAGTTCGATCACAGTCGAACACATCTGACCTTGAAAGTACATAGTCTATATTTATTTTCTATACACATAAGGCTGGTATAAAAACACAATGGGCAATAGTTCCATTCAATACACACATGGTGTTCATGCATGCAGCCAGATATACTTTCGTTATTCTTCTTCAGACAATACGGTACAGAGTCCCACTTTCGCAACCGTTTCACATTATGTCCCATAATATTGTTATGGTGTACGATGTTTATTTTATGTTGAAAGTGGAACGCATAGAGATTATGGTGCTTACGTACAAGTATCAGTGTTATGGTGGGAAAGACGAGTCAAAAGGATTTAAGGATCTGTTCTGTCGGTTTTATAAACAATTAGATTATGTATGTATATGCAAATTGGAACACTTTGATTAGTTTATATTTTGGATCAAATATGTATATCTATCATCGTGGAACTTTTTAGTATATCGTTACTCTTCAGGTTTTTTGTTAACCTGTCCTAATCAATAATTACAAATGTATAAATATTATTATCGATTTTCGTCGTATTATCGTTATAATAATGAGTTACGATTACATTAAATTTTAAAGCCAATTAAATAGAAAATTTATTCGGAACTTTAAGCTAGTTTCCGTAAATACGTTTCTGAAAGTTAAATTTTACTAAAAGTGTGCGTCGCGACATGAACTACTAAGTTCTGCGAAGTAGCTGGGAATTTACAGAGTACAATACTATTTTCTACTTATTATTCATATTATTTATGAAGGACTCATCCTGTATTGTTATATCGTTGTGATTGTTTTATTTATAGGGTACCGCGACTTCTATAGGATTTAACTGCTGTGGTTTACCCATAACTGCATACGTTTAAGCTTGTAATTTAGATTTTTATATGACTGTTGTTATTTTGTTTCAGGTAAGCGTCTTGAGTTAGATTTCTCTAGTTGCCATACCCTGCAAAGGTAAGTTGTCACACCCTGTAAAGGTACAATTGTGACCGTCCGCGTCAGATGGATCCATCCCTTCTCCGTGCAGTTTTAGCGATCATACGAAATCCTATCATACGGCATCCTCTTTCTGTACTTAACCTTGCTAACCTTACATTAAACATCGTGCTTTAGATTTTTTTTTTCTATATTTTGAACTTCTCAGAACTAACCACAGATAATAAATGGCCCATAGCTTTCCTCAGTCTATTTATCAATCACAAACACGATCGTCAGTTATGATTTATTGTCTTAAGATTGCACACACACTCTTACGGACAACACTTACGTATTGACGTGTAGACGTGTATTACACAACGATATTTCCTTCCTTGTTACAAACCGACCAATATAGCATAATTGCTATAAAAATAGCAATCAACGTTGTAACTATGTTACAAATCAGTAATATCACATAAGAAAGCTTCACTGTTTCATGTAATAGACCTATAAAAATGAATACTCTTTAACTCCAAAAGAAATTTTACAAATATGACTGAGGCATTTACTTGATTAGATTATTATTATATTATAACTTTCGAAACAACTTCTCTGAGCTATTATAATCAATAAAGATTAAACTTAAAGTCTAAATTTGCTTGCTGGGACTGGGTATTCGTTGTTATAGTTTGAAAAGTGTACATACCTATAATCCGTTAAGCAATACACGCAATCTAACGTGCTCCTTCTAAAACACGCAATTTCTTCGGTAGCCTATGCATTTGCTATAAAGCTACTAATTGCCAACTTGAAATTAGTAGCGAGTTAGCTATATAAGATTATAACTGTTAAAGATCTAATACATATTTGATAAAGATGCATAAAAACAAATAAACATTCAATTGTGATACACAATTAAGCCGTAATGATGATGGCTTTTCAGCTATTTATGTCTAGTGAGCAAGACCGCAATGAAACAACTGTACCTACTTAGATAGTGTTTTGCATCAGAACACCTCGTGAAGGGGGATAAAGTAAACAATGCAATGTGTTGTGTTTGTATACGTGGTATATGTGTGCAATCTAAATGATTAATCAATACTTATAAGTGTTGTACAGAATACAAGTTATTATGGCCTATAATGTCATATTATATTTATAACTGGTGTCTTTGCTAACAAAACTACTAATTATTAAATTGAACAGAAACTGATCCAGCCTCAAGATGATTCGAAAGTATTAATGGTTGATAAAGTTAATATTTAAAGTGATCATTATGAAAAAGGTTTATGAAGAAGCAGTGAAAATCCCTGAGTCAGTTAAAGTCAAGATGTTGAATCCCTGTTCAAAACTCTTGAATTGTGCTCAAAAGTTCTTTAAACGTGACTAAATTAAAGTTGTTATATATACCTAAATGTGATATCGGCTAGTATCTGTTATAATCTCAGTAGCTAACATTTTAAAAATGCATAGAGCTAAACCTACTGTCTCCGTAAAATCTAGATTATAGAATAAATGGTTCTGGAAACCAACTTGGCAGTTAACTAACAAAAATGTAAACAGATACCATCTTCATGACCTCATAACGTCGCACTTCGTTCAGAATATAGATAAAAAACTACTGTTCACAAAACGTTTTCAAGATCGAAATCTAATATTGCACACATTCATAGACTCATCTTTGCTTAGTACACTGTATTGTCTTAATACACACTTAACAAACTTGACAAAAAGCAATAAATGTCTGTGTTCGTGTATTATTTCAATTGCTGGGTGAAGGCCGTCATGTGACGTCACCTGCTATTGTAGCCTTTATGACTAGTATCGCGTAAAGCCATCTAAAAAACTCTCAAATTACTTCACTGTTTAACGTGTGTATCTAATAAGCTTAGTCTGTTTGTGTTCGCTAAAAAAGTTTAAAAAAGGGAAGGTTCTTCCGTCTGACTGTAAAACTGCAACCGGTGCAGTATACAGTAAGACTGAAAAAGTCAATTATAAGCGTTCTTAGTTGTGTGGTGATATTCAACTAAATAAGTTAGTATCTAATAGTCATAGTAACTAAGAATCGCTGAATAATTACACACAGCAAAAACTTCTTACTTTTTTTCTATAATAGCAACGTTTTATGTGGGTACTAAGTTTTTTGCTCGTTAACTAAATTATGTTGAAACCATGGAGTTGGACAAAATATTTAAAACCTATGACTAAAACTGACGGTTATCAGAGCCTACACCAATTATTCATGTAAGTGTAGGCAGTTCATTCTTGCAACTGCCAGTTGGCTACTTTATTTTTACGGCTTTCCTCTTTTACAAAACCTGAGTATTATATGACATATTAATATGTGTATAATATATATTAAATTATAAATGTTTACTACTTATTTCACATATAACAAAAATCTATTTTAATGATATTTTAGTTTGTGTAAACGTTATAAATAATCAAAATACAACCACGGTATGCCACAGCGAAGCATGCAATTGTACATCGAGTGTAACTTATTAAGTGAAACAAAAGCTTCCTAACACATTCGCCGATGACGCCATTCTGACGTCACAAGAGCTCTACTAAAATCCAAAAGAGCCAATGTAAAATATATCCAAGGATGTAGCTTTCTGTTGGTATTGTTTTGAAATTTCAACACTGATTTATTGTGGCCATAAATCGTCGACAGAAGCAAATATTTAGTGTTAAACGTTGCGTAGCTTATCGATGGTCGTAAATTAAATTGTTTTATGTCAATTTTCTCGTACTCCTTCAATTAATATTATTAAGACTGTTACATTATGACAGTTTATTATGGCAATATTTTGCTACGATCCTAATTTTTAAATCTATATTTATTTATTTTACAGAGTTAATTCTTAATTAATTAATATTTCGAATCAAGGTAGGCATTTTTATTTTCTAAATTATGGTAACGTTATGATTTGTATGGAATTTTAGGCGTGGTACTATTTGATGATAGAAGGTGATGTATCTGTGAAGTAATGTGTCTATCATATTATGTTAAATCGTTAGCACGTCATCGTTAATCATAGTTGACGTTAACACAAGTCATTGCCTGAAAATTCTCACCGGGCCGACGTATCCTTCTAGAAAAGATCTGGCAATAAAAAATCTTATGATCGCATATTTTAAGTAG